GACCTGGTTTTGGCACGTAATATCTATACAAACCCCTATTATTTATTGATCCCGATGATTAGCTTAAGTACATCTAATTTGCATTCTCTATTTCTATTAAATTTATTATTCAATATATTAAACTTTTCATCATTTTGGGTTTGTTGTCTCTAATGGCTCTACTGTTTCCATAATGCTAGTTACTTGACAATAAAGTATACTCAAAATTTGAGAGATTTCAGACAAATCAATACTAATCATCCTTGACTAATGAATCACCTGCCAATGAAAAGAATTGGTTTGCTTTATAATTTGATAATATTTTGTTATTACATTGACGATATTTCATTTCAGTAACTAGAATAACGTAGTGATATTGGAACCTTTTTCCTTAGCTATTGTTGATACCTATTAATAAAAACTCAATTAGTAAACATTACTCGTTTAAGAAAATCTGTTCTCAGATACATAAATATATTTGAATATATTTTATCCTCAATACCTTTGAAATCTATTTGTTTAATGTTCTTCATTTGATCAGCTTAATCAGTTCATGAATTAACTTGTAAATGATTTTTCAAATTTATTTTTGGGCAGGTATAATAAGTAAGGCTGTATCGTGACAATAATTGCTATAGTTAATCCTATTCTATGATAAACACTATTTTTGCGTTGAATAATTATTTAATTATATTGATCAAATTTATTTTTGAATTTTTTAATGCTGTTATATTCTCAAAGTTCTACAATTTTGCAAAGCTACTAGACTTAAAAGTTACATCATTAAACTATGAATTTTCTCACTTACTGAAAATTATGTTTAATAAACTGTGAAACAAAATTTATCATAGATATTTGGAATTAAGGATTTCTTAGTTCTAAGACTGTTCAAATTAATGGTAAATGAATAGGGTTTATTAATTACAAGAGGAGAATATTGCAGCTAAAAGGCTTTAGTTAATGGTATGAATTCAAACTACAAAAACTGTGAACAAAGCTAAAGCGATTAATACTAACTTGAGAATTAACAATACATATAATGCTCTAACATAGTTAAAATTCTGAAGGAAATTATCTAGCTATGTATAAATAATTGGAATAAACTTTAGAAGAGATTAAATTGCAAACACCGGTACACTTTCTTAACTCCTTATTACATCAATATTATTGAAACCTCGTATAAGTTATTTTACCTCTCTAAGAAATTACAGTTAATAATACTTTCCTCATCTAAATAATCAACGAACTGCTCTCCAAAGAAAAACCTTCAATTGTAAAGAAATAGTTGTCAATAAGATTCATAAATACTTTAATTTTTAAGCCTAAAAGAAGAACAAATAAATTTGAATAATACATTAGCCACAATATTCCACACCAAAAAATACAAAAACAAAAATGCATATTAATAATAATCTAGCAAATGCATTTAATTATTATTCTATACCTAATAACAAAATGACATTATAGATATTTTTTTGCTTAACCTTTTGGGATTTATAACTTTAGGCAACAGATATTGATATAATGTTACGAACTCTAACACTTTAATTCAAGAGATATTCTAAAAGCTTTGGACTATCACATTATGGTATAAGACATAAATGATATATTGGTTTAAATTTTTGAATAGCTTATATAAATCATCATGAATTTCATTCAGATTGTTTTTAAATAATTACAGATCAAATTGCTTAGGTTATATCTAAACCATATACAATGGGTGTTGATAAAACAAGGCCAAATGCTTTGGTTATAAATATAAGTTCCTAGAAATAGCGAATATGTGTTCTTCTCCTGGATAGAATAATGTTTCAAAAACAAACAACATTTATCAGCAATGTTTTGCTTATTTAATAAATCCAAAATGTAAAACTGTAGATGGAGGATGATACAAATGAAACAACAATAAATTAGGAAATTGTTGTAAGGGTGCTGGAAAAGGTAAACTTGTTTCTGGGATGATACATTAAATCACAAGCTTCAAATAATATTCATATATTATATTGTGAAATTAATCTTGCCTTACTGCTTCAGCTACTAATTATACTAAAAGACTTCAATTAATTGATATAAAAAAGATGCATTATCGATCATGATAGAGCTCGTTGTATTGGTATTTCAGTCACTTACAATAAAAGAAAACCATAAGATAAACGTAAAAATGAGTAAACCAATTTTTACTACATCAAATTGTGAAATTCAAATTTTCAATTTGAATTAAATAATTGTACATTAATTTTAAGATCAAGAAGATAAAAAAAAGAGCAAGTTGCAAAGTTAATTCTATAAACCTTTGACAATTTAAGTGTAAAATAGACTTTTTTTGTTAAAAACGTTAACAATGAAAGATTAAGTTATAATCAATTTTACTTATAATAATATTAAAGAGAAAGTTAAGATTAATGTGATTCAAAACTCAAGTAGTATGAAAACTTGCCTGCAGAGAAGCTGGTGCTTTTGATGTCGCTGTTATAGGATGAGGATTAGTAGGTTTAACAATTGCTCTTGTTATTAGCTTTAAATTTATATTGGTAAGGTGCAAAGTTAAGTTTAAAGATTGCAGTATTCGATTTTTTCACTTATCAAACAAAGGTTCAATCTGGGGATTAGTTAGAAGGGACTTGAGTTAAAGTTGGATGCACCAAAGAAACTTATGCATCAATGTATGTTTATTAAAGTAGAAAAATTAATGTTCAACATCTTATGGAAGGACTCAAGCGAATGAGAATAAGTGAATTGGGATTTTATGGTAGATATAATA